TCAGGACTTATTCACAAAAGAATAAATTATTTTTGAAATCTTTTGTTTTAGAAAATGTTGGTAAAAATATTTTTACATATGTTATGAACTTAATTCCATGAAATTTCGAGCAATTAAATTTCAAGGAGAAAAGTTGTTTTATTAGTTAAAAGTATGACTAATTGGAGAATTTAAATCATCATGTTTTTTTTTTAAAAAAGACCCGCATTTACCGAAAATCTGCTCTGAATCGTAAAATAAAAAATGCAATAAAACTATGAAATTATTTAATTAGAAAAAATTTAATTGCTTTTATAAATAAGATTTATTAAGGACATTATTGTCTTAAGAAAAGTTTTTTCTATGAATAATTAACTTTTACAAGAATTGTTTTCATTTTTTAAACATTTTAATTATATAATTTAAATCGTTTAAAATTCTGCATTATTTCAAAGAGTTTAGTTAGTATTGTTATTAAGTGAAAATTACAATCATGAATCAAAAATTGAAAAGCTCATTAAAATTCGTTGAACCCCACTATTTTAACTTTTTTTTTTATGTATACATAATGTGCCCCTGTTTGAAAGTATGGTCGACCATATATGACATAAACAGAAAAAAAGTGCGATGACTATATTTAATTTAAATTCAACGCTCTTAAAATTAGATTACGGAGAACATTTTCCAACATTTTTAAGATCACTGAGTACTTAAAAATTATATTAAAAAGGCGCTCAGCCAACATTTTCTTAAATTATATTTTAACAGATAAAGTCGCCATACAACAACAATGAACCTATCAACACCTTAAGTGATTTGCGAGGTGTCGATAAGCACTTAATCGCGCTACTGTTTGTTTTAAAAATCCATTTCTTTGTTATTCTAAACTTAAAGTAAGTAATTTTTTAAAAAATCAGCTTGTTATGGTCGTGTTCATTGAGAATATATCTTTCGTATTATTAATGATTCAAGAAAACAACGAAACTCCAAATGTGAATCAACAAGTAGATATTGAATAACATACAAGAACAAAATATACAATAATTTGTATTCAATGTATAGATTAAGGGAAAAGAAGTTGCTCCCCTTTTACCGTATTTTTGATTTGTGATTGATTGTTCGAAAGAAAGTTCTCTTTTGTGAGAAATGTTCAGGAGTCAATGTTAGAACAAGTCTGCTGTTAGAATAGATAACACAAGAATACAAATGATCAGAAAGTGTGTTGTGTTAGAGAAATCAACAGAGTCCTGGTTGATTGGACTTGGCTGAGTCACACAGAAATATGTATATATGTATTACAAAATTCTATGTCTGTGTGTGCGTTTGAAATGTTGTGAGTAAAGTCATAGGTTTTTGTTGACAGGCGAAATTTAGTGGACTCTACTGGCGGCTTGTGACAAAGTCGCCTCTTTTAAAGCTACAGATAGGCTCCCAGCGAAACCGCGGGAAAAGTTGATTTTGCACTAAAATGTGTGATTGGTTAAAATTTGACCAATCGCTAAATTTGTACTAACGAAACAAGTAAGCAAGTTCAAAACCGAAAAATTCAAAGCAACAACTGCCATGGCTTTAATTGTCCTATAGAAAGGCAGTATTGATTTATTAGCCAATCGCAGGCGAATAAAATGTAGGCGTGCAAAAACATAGCAGTCGCTACAAGCTTAATGAAAATTTAAATCAGCTAATATATCTCAGATAAAGGTTACACAAATACATATTTTATTTTTGAGAGATTTTTGAAACTCATTTTAAATCTTAGGTATCAACATTTATACGGAATAGTAGAGGTACCTGTTCTTAAGTGAAATTTACGAATAAAAAATTGAAAAGCTTAATACAAATCATCACGCACCAAGATTTTTAAAATAATTTTTTATTATTTTTTTTAGTGTATAAACGTTCCGATTTTTGCATGGATGACCATCCACGACATAATCAGAAAATAAGAGCAATGACTATAGTAAATTTAAATCAATATTCTTAAAATTAAATTACGGAGAATATTTTCCAATATTTTTCAGATTATCGAGCACTAAAAATTATATAAAAAAGGCGCTCACTTCATTTACTTAAATAATATTTTACAAATAAAGTCTCCGTAGTATGTCATCACCTTTCCCTCATTTGTCAATCGCGTAAACATAGCTACTGTTGATTAAGAATATATCTACTGTTTGTTTTAAAAATGCATTTCTTTGTTATTTTAAACTAAAAATAAATAATAATTGTTTCAAATCAAATTAATTGTACTTTAGATCACTAATATTCCTCAAATAAAATTTCACAAATATATATTTTACTTTTGGGAGACTCTTTAATAAAGAAAATTATATTTTGTTGAAAGACGATTAAAAAGGGAGATAATCAGCTATTTTAGCAAAAACCATCAAGTCAATTTAAATTAGTTTTTAATTTAGTTTTTGAAATACGTCAAAGGATTTTGACTATTAGAAATATTAAATTTCATTTATTAGTTTGAAATCGAAACTAAAATAAAACCTTCAAGGAAATGTTTTCATTTTTAAAAATTAATTTTCCATATTTTGTGTCGCGTTTTTTGTAGAGGTCTCTGTTTGAAAGTAAGCTTCTTTTAGTGTGAATTTTTGGTCAACTTGAACCTTCGTTCCAGAAAAAAACAACGGAGTGACAAAAAGAAGTTTTTCCTTTCCATCGACATCGCTATTATTTTAACTACATTCACTCCTCTGTAAGGTTTGTTTTAAAAAGCGATGATTAGAATTTTAATAAAACATATGAAAGTGAATTTATATATTTTCTTTGTTCTTGAGAATCAACAACAAAAATAATAAATACTATTTATTTATTAGATTGTTTATTCTCATTATTTATTTATTATATTTTTTATTGGAATGGTTGGCAAAACATCGGCTAATTGTCAATCGATGCGAACTTTATAAAATTGTAAATAATAAAGATTTCCTTATAGTAGATTCAAGTATTTTAATAATTGTTTATTAAATGTAAATGTTTATAAATTTATGAATAAAAATGTTTTCATATTTATTTCATTATAAATTGGCATATAAATAACGCATTGCATCAGTTTTAAAAGGTATTAGTTTTTAGAAAGTTGCAAATATAAAATTATTCTAAGTAAATAAACAATCTAATAAATAAATAGTGTTTAATATTTTTGTTAGAAATTATAAAAAAATATATATATACATAAATTCATTTTCGGTATAAGTTTTATTACAATTTTAATCATCGCTTTTTAAACCAAGAAATACTGACGAGGGAGTGAAGGTAATTAAAATAATAGCGGTGACAAGGGAAAAATGTAAGACTCCGTTTTTTTTGTTTTTGTCGGTTACGAAGATACCAGGTTTGTCGGATGTTTTGCAGGAAATTATTTTGCATTTTTTAAAAAATTGAAATTCTAATGACAACTTTATATTTTAGTCTAAACGAGCGTTGAAATTGAAACATTTTTTCACGAAGAGAAAAACACTCCCGTAGGCTTAAAATAGCTGCATAAACAAACATTTCCATATTTTTTGTCTTTTTATGAGTTATATTTATGTTACGTATATTTATGTAACGTATATTTATGTAACGTATATTCATGTAACGTATATTTATATAACGTAATACTATTGCCAGTTGGCATTAGAATTACTTTCATTTCGCTTTTGTCATTTTTTGAACGAATATAACTCGAAAAATGTATCTAAATTCAAATCTAATAAACAATTATTTTAGAGTCAATAACAAAAATCTTCGGACGTCAAAGGATTCAACGTATAAAATTTCGTTCAGTTGCTCTACTTTGAAAAGAAACGTCTTTCTTTGATTTATGGGCCAATCAGAATAACTTTAACCCCCCACCCCAAAAGCTTATCTAATCCGATTAACTTTTGTATAAGCAATGCTGTCTAACAGTAGAGTCAGAATCGAGTCTGTATTTTAGTTAGTCTCTCGATGCCATAGACACGTGGAAGTGCACGCATACGCACACATTAAACACACAGCTGTTAGCAAAAGGAACAACCCAACATGCAAATTTCAAATGAGAGATACGAAAAGAACAACAATTTAAATATCTGGTAAGTTTTTTCAACTGAGGATGCAAAGTGTAAAACTAAAATCCGAAGGCGCATTAAGAGAGTAAAAGAGCCCTTCCAAAAGCTAACCAAAGTATTAAGAAGCAAAAAAAAAAAAAAAAAAAAAAGAAAAAAAGTACTGATGTGTTCCGTAATATCAGTCCTCATATACGACAGTAACTGCTAGACAATCTCCTCACTGATGAAGAAGAGACTTGAGACAGCAGAAATATGGTTTTACTGGAGTATACTAAGAATATCAAAGATCGAACATGTGAGTAACGACGATGTTTTAGAGAAAATAGAAGCAAAAATGACACTTATATTTAACATAGGAAGAGACACTTAGAATTCCTTGGGCATATGAGGAAAGAGGTCTTAGCTAATTTGATACTCACAGAACATATTGAAGGCAAGAGGGAAAGAGGAAAACAATGCATAATCTATCTATCTATCCAGTTTGTGTAAATGGATAGTAGAACAGGTTTTAGGAGAGATAATAAAAAGACAATTTTATTAAAAGCTAAAAAGGACAGGAAATTGTGGAGAGCCATAATCGCTTACGTCTTGAATGTACGCAGCACATAGAAGAAGAACCTATGCACACACCTTGCGTTTGTATGACTTCAATGGCCAACTAAATTATTGTTCAATGCCCTGTCCCGTGACAAAAGCTGCTGGTGGCTCCAGGGGTGGCAGTACCACCTTAGCCACCGAAACTGTGTTATCTTCCCTGGTTGGCGGCTGACGAGGGCAGAGTATCGCAGGTGATTTTACACGTTGTATGTAGAAAAAATAACGATTTCCCTTTACAGCATCTTCAAGGACGAAAATTTTATATCATTGGCTTTAAAGAATTATTTCAACAGTTACTTACGCCACAATTCCATGTTCTTTTTTTACGCATTGTCTGAATTTAAGTTCACACTTTTGTTTTCATTCAATTATCAAAAGGGTTACGGCCACATCACGTTAAAACACCGGTTCCTGTACGATCACCGAAGTTAAGCAACGTCGGCCATGGTCAGTGTTGGTGACCGTCTGGGAATACCGGATGCTGTAAGCTTGGATGGGAGGGTGATGTAAAGGATAGAAACTCAGAATTGTTAATCGGAGAGCCGAGTTCCAATTGAGATCATTATATTCACATGCGCAAATACCCTTGGGAAAAGTATGAATCCACCTTTTCTCCTCCAAGTTATGGGTTAATTAGTATGAGTTGTATCAATAAATTATTATTATATGCGCCCAAAATTTCTTAAAATCTAAAAAAATTTTTTTCTGGCGTGATACATAAAACTTTATATATCGTTATTCCACACACACACACACACACATGGTGTACTGGGGCAGCTAATCATTATTTAAACATATATTGTTAAATATAACAGACAATGAATATCTATTATAATATATTCATTGAAAATATTGAATAAAATAAATGATTATTATATGCATTCATTGTATATGATTAATCTAGTAACATACAGTTAATGCATATTATTAAAACGGTTCATGATCAAATAGACATTCATTTTCTGTTATATTTAACAATATATGTTTAAATAAATATATATATATAATATAATTTATATATATAAATATATAATTTATATATATATATATATATATATATATATATATATATATATATATATATAATTAATATATTTTATAATTTGGCTTAACTACAGATTTAACAACATAGGTAGAATTAATATATAACCCCATAAATCAAGCCTTACCCATATTTCTTACCCACACAAGACAGACATGCTTGCGGGGGGGGGTGTTGAGGTCTCACAGCTATCCATACACCCATACTAATATATACACTTACACACATCATACACACACCCAAAGAACTAAATGATAACATACACTTAATACACGCACATCCACTTCCCATAAACCAATAAATCTGTCAAAATGACCATGAACGGAATTCTGAGTAGCATGAATCTCCCCAGCCTCTATCTTAAAAGCATTTTAAAAGAGGCCGTTTGACCAACACAAGGTATTAACGATAAAAAACAAACGAAAACTACAAATAAAGTTCATTTTCTTCAGAAAGTCATTCATTCTTGTAGTTCACTGCTATTTACAAGCAGGGATTTTTTCCTGATGATGGCCATTGCTGGCCGAAACTAGTCGAGGAACCTAATTGAAATAATAAAACAAAAATATTAATATACAACCAAGTGTGTCTGAAAGTTTTAATTCTTTTTATTGTTCAAAACATAATATATATATATATATATATATATATATATATATATATATATATATATATATATATATAGAGAGAGAGAGAGAGAGAGGGAGATCGATAGATGGCCTGAAGATTTAAATTTGAAACAGACTGTCACCATTTTGTGTTGACATCATTATCCACTCGTGTATTTACATACGCTCTATAACTGATATGAATCACTTTTATTTTTTATCAATACACACACACACACACACACACACACATACATATATATATATATTTTTTTTTTTTTCTGTTTATGCGTTATTTTTATTTTTTAGAAAAGTCCGAATTACTGTTTCTAAACACGTCAGATTAAATCACGGTTCCCATTAGTGTTACAGGTTTGATTCCTGTCGGAGAGCGCATATTTTCTCTGAAATTTCTCGAACATACCGGCCGGTAAATGTAATTAATTCTTCTTATTTTGAAAAAAACAAACAAACAAAAAAAGCAGATTATTTGCTTAAATAAAGTGTGTGTGTGTGTGTGTGTGTGTGTGTGTGTGTGTGTGTGTGTGTGTGTGTGTGTGTGTGTGTGTGTGTGTATTAGCTGGCTGGTCGTATTCGAGGATACCAGTCTACTTCAACACGCTCTCTCCCAGAAACTGTAACTAAGGTCTACTCAGCATAGTTGCAGTATAAACCTCAGGTTGGCTCTGTGGCTGTTGTAGAAATACAAATGGGTCTGACCGAGCATCTGCAATAAGGATATATATATATATATAAACATTAAACTCGACCATGTCTCTCACACCATTCCTCGCCACCTTCTATGTTAACTTATATAAGCTTAATACTGCCCGTCAAAAGTGTAAATTTTAATTTCATTTTTCGTTTCACCTTTTGAAAGTGATGTCTGAAGATCCAGGGAAAAATAAAAGTCTCTGGTGAAATAAACTATTACAACGGAGCCTTAAAATGGTCTATTTTTCTTTATATATACATATACATATATATTTATATTCTTTATATATACATATACATATATACATCAAAACATATTCCTTAAATAATGCCAACATTAATTCCGGCCCAATGACAATCAGTGCCTATGGCTATCTATCGTAAATGTATAGCAATAAAGTTAACATGGCATATATAACAGACTTATTGCGACAATAATACTTGCATTAACGTCCTAATCACTACCAATCACTTTTCCTTGTTAGCAATGCATTTATCTGCTAAAATCATTCACATTGGTCATTGGCCCGGAATTAATGTTGGCATTATTTAAGGAATATGTTTTGATGTTAGAGGCGCTTGAATTTTCCCACCAAAGTTTCAGAATTCTTTAAAATATTTGTAAGAGTTTCAGAAACGCACTTCAACTTTTTGATAAATCTTACAAATTGTCCTTTGAAAGCCTCAACGTGTCTGTCAGTATTTTCTAATTAGAAATACGTCGATTGTTTATCATTAAATATAGGCCAGACTAATTTCCCGCCATTTAAGCCTCAGCTGTTCACACCCTGTCTGCCTACCCTCTCACCAGACCGTCTACTCTTAACATGTCAGTCAACACATTCTAACCGAGTAGTAAACAGTAGAAATGTCGATGACCAGCGTCAAAAGATGTCATCGAAACAAGAGCTCGTAATTATTTGCCTTTAGAAACTTCGTTATGTGAAATAAGTAAATAAGTTTTGCAGCTAATATATTGCTGGTCAAGTGAAATATTTCTTCATTGTGAGGATTGCTCCAACATGGTCTGCCAATACACTCAATAGGTGGCGCTGTTTCTGGATCGTAAAAAGGACGGATATAACTCCTTCCTCTTGTCTCTTTTGCCCCGGAATGTAGTAGATTCAACATGGGCTTTTTTCCGCTGGGTAAATTTCTTCCCCACCACTGGGCCGTCGCCTATCACGGACTTACATATCACTCTTCTCTTTCTGTCACACACACAGACAATTCTCTAAGCTTTAAATATGTTCTTTCTTTTCACCTGTCTGTGTACGAATAAGTATAATTTTCTTCCTTGTATTTTTAATCTTTAAGAAGCTAAGCAGACTATTAAGAGACAGAAAAACTTCGTTATGCGATATCTGTCCTACTGTATGGCAGTTAATGCTGGACAATCTCCTCAAAGATGAAGAAGAGACTTGAAGCAAGGAAGAAACATCTGAGGCATATAATGAAGAAAGAGGGTTTGGAAAATCTGTTACTCACAGGAAGGCTAGAGCGCGATAGGGAAAAGAAAACAACGGAGAACATATTTGTCGAGTTTGAGAAAATGGATGGCGGAACAGGATTTAGAAATAATTAAAAGACAGAATTCATTTAGAGCTGCAAAGGACAAGAAATTGTGGAGAGCCATGATCGCCTACGTCCTGATGGAACACAGCGCATAAAGAAGAATATCAATATATATAATTTATATTCGATATTTTGTGTTCTTTGTGCCATCCAGCGTAAATGCAAAGATCACACAATTTCGTGGGCCCAAACATTTTGCCCCTGAAAAACGTTCTGTCTACTTAAGACTGTCCCTTATTGGTGAAACTGGGGTAAGTTTTGCAAAGCAAATGTCGATCTGTATTTCATAATATTATATGAATCCTTCTACTCGGTTTTTCGTTGAATGTAAAAATCCGTCGTGTCGGAATTCGATACAATAACATAAAATGTTGTTGCGGGGTTGCTCGTAATTCACACGATTTTTATTGAAAGAATAAAATTCATTAGAAAAGACAACGTAGTTTCAAGAAATAAACATTAATTTAATATAACAACAAGAATACAAGAAAACTTGGAAAGTAATGTCTTTTTGTTTGGGTTAATAAAGTTCTGAAATAAAATATAAATTGTCTTTGTGTACGTATGTGTGAAACAATGAGATGTTGTTGTATGTGTGTTTGTGTGAAAAAGCCAGCATGTGTGGGCGTGGTTCATAGTAAAGAGGATACAAGAGATAGAAATTGTTTCTTACTGTTGGCGGTGTTGGCGTAGTCTGAAGCGGTCTCTTTGAAGTTTGTCAAGGCTGTCGCTTTTAGCATGAGTTCGTGCAGATAATAAGCGAGAGTGGCGTGGACTTTGGTGACAGCTGTGAGTATCCTGTTTGGGGTCGGATTTCGTGTGTTTTTATACACTTTTTTGTAAGAAAATCGACTCCAGAATTAAATTATTTATTTATTTCTAATTGGTCCCAATAAGTCACGTGGTATGTCTTCTACCACGTCCGCCCGATGTTTTGGCAGTATATACCTAAATCATGATGATTAACACAATAAACTTTCTGATTTGTGTTCTATGGTTTTATTGATGTATTTTAAGATGTAAGCACTTTATTGAATATGATTGGTTTATAAATATTGTATTTGATATTTTAGTAGACACGATAATATTACTCTTCTGCTAATCTCCGAATGATATTCTCGTATCGGCCTCTGTTGGCCTCTGTTGTAAAGGACAACCTGCCGAACTTCAAAATTAGTTCACTTATTTTTATTCTTTTAAATGACACTACAATGCTGAATATATATATAGGCAGGAGAACTCAACTTTTAGACCGGATAATTTTACTGCATTTTCCGGCATGTCTGGGTCAGCAAATGGGAAGCACTAATACATAATCATCAGTGTGCCGTAGCAATATCACGAGAACATGTTCGTTATGTTATATAGATCGCACTCCCAATTTCATCTTAAAGGGTTGGAAACAATTTTTATTAAGTCTAAGCAGCCTTCCCTGTGTAAACAGAAGGGGTGGCTTGGTCTTAATTTTACCTGCATCTGACATATTTTCATTAGCAAATCTTTGATAATTTCGTTCATTTTGGCCTTGAAAAATGTCCTCTTATGACTG